TGGTCCGAGTCGGGCTGCGCTGCTGCGTTCATCTCTTCAACGGAGGCCAAAGCGCTTCCACTGCTGCACTGCGTCCATTCATAATTGATGGCGACTTACGTAAGAGGCGACTGTGCGTGCGCCCTCCTCGCAGGGGCTTCCCGAATTCCCCCTTCGCCAGTCAAGCTTAACAAGTGGGAGAAACCGCGCTCCTCCCCCTCTCCCCCCCCCCCCCCCTTTTTTTTTTTTTTTTTTTTTTTAGCCAAACGAAATTAGTTTTCCAAGGTATCAAATTAAAAGCTCGTTCGTGCACGAAATTCAACGGCCAGGAGGGGAAATGGTAAAACGCAAAGCTTTGTCAGAAGTTTTGTGCTGTTATTTTAACTCTGACGCGCTTCGCCAAATGAACGACGGCGGTTCTGCTTATTCCGATCTCTCTTATGCGGAACTCATGAGCATGACCGAGTGAAAATTGTTGTTTCAGAAATTTTTGCAAATTAAAACGATGAATGTCAATCATTGCACGTTTCGCCGCATTTCGCTGTGGCAGCCATATGCCAAAATTTATTGAATAGCTATTTTGCCGAAAATTTTATGCAGATCCCCTCCCACCAAAAAAAAAAATTAGAAAACTCCTTTTTTTATGAATTAAAATCGATCCATAGGCCATAACAACGTTGTCTGGTGTCGATACTTAATGTCGTACGCGTGTTAAGCGCAACACGGCAACAACGCGATTGTTAATCCTCGCGTCTGTAGTTTGCCATTTTGTTTGTTGGCATGGCTGCCGGCCGGCCGGGGTATCCATCAGCGACTCATCCAATATGCATGGGGCGGCCGTTACGCGCATAACTCTTGTTGAATGTCGACACGGGTCCCGGCTGAGGTTGTATTTACACACAGGAACGTTTGCTGAAAGATCCGCCGCAGAAGATGAGGTGAGATGCTATTACTTCCAAGGACGCCGGGCGGGCCGCCACCCAATTGAGGCATAAATCAAACGGGCTGGGTTGGGTTGGGTTGGGGGGGGCAAACAATCAAGGGTGATCTTGGCAATATGAGGTGCCCCCTCCCCCAAAAAATAAAATACTCACTCTGACTGCCAATTCTAGTGAATCCCCTTTAACACGGAGCAGATGTTCGCAATAAGGTGAAAAACTGTGAAATAGAGATCGTGTGCATGGAAGAAATGTCACGAAAACGAGCGTCATGCTAACGTATTGTGTCAAACGCCATCGATGGGCCAAGAGAACTTGGAGCGATGTTCTGGTCATGACAAACTTTTGAACAACCGTTCGTTTCACACAAAACGGACTGCAACAAACAGAAGTGCTTCTTCTTCTTCTTGCGTCTCCTCTTCCAGTAGACACCAGTGCTGCCCCGCGCCTTGTGGCACAACATGGTATTACACCGGCGGCATGTGCCACGCCAAATGATACTTGCCTGTAAAAATGAACAATGGCACTTAATCAATGGGCCGGCTTTGACCACCTCCCTACATTTTTTATTTCGATTTTTGTACGGAGGGCAGCGCGGGTTCAGAGAAGCATTTTCATCGATTGTTCTCTTATTTGGCTGGTAAATGTCTATCATCAAGTCATTGTACATTGACCGTTATTTTGGAATACGTGAAACAAAAAGCCAATATGCGCTTATTGTTGCATGCACGGGTGCAACAACTAATTGATTGATCGACAACTAATCGATGATCAAATTGATCTGTTCAACTGATTTGATCACCAAATGACCTCAAAATAATCGTTAGTTGCAGCTCCAGGAAAACCCAAAGAAACACACATTGTCTTTGTGTATTGCGGCTTTTCACCTTTCGCAGTTGGGTCAGGAGCGGCTGTTTAGAACGTTCAGCAAATTTTATTTGGGACACCCTGGATTGACTTTTTAGCCGGCTCAACCTTGATTGCGGGTTCAGTGTTGCAGGGCGAGTACATTCTCTGCACGCTGTCAAATAAATAACCACCATTAACCTGCAGCGGGCTGCCGATCCGCTGCGAGCAGACTGATCCATTTCAAAATCTAAAAGAGGAATAAAAGGATTTGCCGCAGGACGTGGGGGAGCCGCCCGCGACGGTCCCACTTTGTCTTTTTTTTTTTCCGACGGCTCGCTGATGCGGACATAAAGCAGCCGCTCGTAAACATCCAGCTGCTCGGTATCGGAAGGGGAAGTCGCTCGGGCTCGACGTTGCCAGACAGACTTCAAACCCGCGCCAGGTGAGATTTGACTGATTGACTGGCGGGCTGGCTGACTGGGCCCGTTTGTCTGGTAAATACTCGCCGGGTGACTCCGCTGATTAGCGCATGACGCACCGCCACGACACGCTGGCCGGTCGGCCTCACTGAGTGACACGACGGAATGGCCTATCTCGCTAATTGAATAAGCGCTGCACGGCGTGATGTCGCTGCGTGTTTTGCTTTCTTTCCTCAAGGCCCATCTGACATTGGCTCCGAATTCCATCCGACACTCGCGGCGGGGTTCCCGATTTCCTGACAGGTTGCGATAACGTCTGCCGACTGGTGCTGACAAAGCAAAATTTAGACCAGTCAAGTCACGTTTCCTCATTCCAAATCGATGAATAAATCTGCCGTTTGCATGCCAGGCCACTTGATGGCACTGTAGTTAAACAAAGACGGTTCCGAAAGCAAACGTTGGAATTCGGGCTGTCGCTCTTGTAATTGATCGCTCCATCAATGAACTGAATACTCTAATTCATTTTTTATTTTGCATTAAAGTGTATTACAAAACCAATTTTTCCCATTGGAATGGTGCAAAGATGCCCTGGAGAATGTTACTAGTTCATTTGATCTTGGCCCGACATGACACTGGTGCATTCCCAGTTTGGGAATGCCTGATAGTTGGCGCATCGATGCCCGCACTTGTGGGAAGAAAAATCAAAAGACAGCCTGTTGTTACCATCACTGGCTTATTTCATCAAGGCTTGTCATGACACCCGTAATCTCCCGCAATGGCGCGCGCGCAATTTTGTGAACTAGTGAGCTACTACCTCCAGTTTGGGAACGTGCTCACAGATTATTAGTTGGTGCACCTCCCCAGATAACCCTTTGAAAAAAAGCCTGTGGGAAAAGCCATTTGTTCATTTTATCTTGCCTCAAAATCACACTAACTCACACACTGGTGCACCCCTAGTTCAGAAATGATAGTGGGCACACCCTTAGAGGGGAAAAAAAAAAATCAAATCAAAACAAACACCCTGAAAAGGTCAAAACAAAGCCAGTATTTGTTTCTACCCATCTTGGGCTGCTATTACACAGCAAATCTCCCGCAATGCCGCATGTAACAGACAGTTAGTTGGCGCACCTCCCCAGACACCCTTGGGGGGGAAAGAAAAGCCTGCGAATATTTGGGGGAGGGGGGAAAAGTCAAAAAAAGACAGCACATGGATCATGTTATTTGTTTATTTCATTAAAGCCCGCCATTTGCCTTCTCATCTGCCACGCTGACGCACCCCCATTTGGGAGCGAGACAGTCAAGTGGTGTTTTGAGCGACAAGTACGAGACAAAAGGCAAAGGAAAGATGAGGGAATATGCAAATGTGGCATGAGCGGATGTGAAGTAGATCACTCACTTCTTTTCCACTCTTAAAAAATGAATAGATAATAATCAGAGTAGTTGCGTCAACAATTATCCTCTCGCTGGATTCAATTTGCTGCAAATGGCTTTTGAGGATCTTGGAGAGCGCGTGGCCCGCCTTCCACCCTCCAGAAAAACCAACCGGTTCGGTGTTTAGCCCAATAGTGGAGGTGAAGCGGCATCGGCGGCAATGCCCTCGTTTGGAGGTCACAAGCTGGAGAGCTAAGATGCGGGATCCCCCCCACTCCCCCCCTCCCAACGCAATAAGTCAGGACACACCCAGATGGAGAGGGGGAGGGGGACCAAGAAAATGACAGCGAAGGAGCAAGAACAACAAGAAACAGACATGACGCTGCTCATTCTCCAAGTGGGTGACATCACGGCCAGCCACTCTTGGTGACAATAAAGTGGCTTTCTCCTTTTTTTTTTTTTTGCGGGCCGGACCAGCTTATGTTGGCAATGTGGGGAAACCACTCCAACAGGAAGAACGAGCTGCTGCACCGCGAACACATAGCAGCAGCAGCAGCAGCAGCAGCAGCAGCAACCAGTGTTCACCGGGCTAACTCATTGCACTCGCATCCTTTAAAAGAAAAAGAAAAAAAAACACCCAAAATGCCCGTGTAGTGCGGTCAAACTGATTCCAGACTCGGCGGAAATCCGCATGCCCCGCTCTGAGTCATTGCAACACGCTCCCCGCACCAAACCGCCAGGTTTTGTGTTGTGCCCCCCCCCCCCCCCCGGGTTCGGGGGACTCACGGTGGACTTGGCGAGTCCTACATTCGACGTCAACCACATTGTTTAACCGCTGTACAATTCGGCAAATCTCAAATGTGACAACACCACACGTCGCATTCGCTGAAAGACAAGCAGCGGATAAGCCGCCCGCGCGCTGGATAGCACGCAGCGGTGGGCGGCAGCAACTGGTCGGCGGTATGTACCGCGTCCAAAAGTTGCATTCGGATACAACTTGGAGCCAATCGAGGCAATTACACGCGAGGAATTGACGTACCCGACGACGTGCGAACCGACGCGTCAAACAAAGTGCGCCTAAAGTTGCGGCTAAAACGTCCACATTGCTCAAGAGGGACTTGGAGGCTGCGGGCGAGGGGAGCCGAGCGCGGGGAACTCGTTCCCCGTGTGGAGCTCTCGTCTCTCCCCCGCCCCGCCGGCGAGCTAGCTCACTTTGCGGCAAATCTGACTGGTGAAACGTTCCAAAAAACGAGAACCCGGAGGTTGGGGTCTCACACCTGTGGCGGAAAAAGGAGCCCAAATGGGCCACCGGAGAAGACGAGGGAACCAAAAGGCTCTTCAAATAAGCTTCCAAACCAACTGAAAACTCATCGAGCGACAACGTCGACGTAAAAACGGCCAGCAAAGTTTCACCTCCCCCCAAGAAAAGCGAAAGGATCTTTACCTTCGGCGGGGATCCGTGTCCGAATCACGTCGGCGTGTGGAGCTCCCTCACTGGGCTTCGTCCATGTCCGGCAACTTGACTGGACCGCAGCGGTGGGAGAAAAATGATTGACAGGCCGGGAGTGGAATTCTTAGGACCAAAGCAGGGGGGGGGGGGCAAAAATCGATATAGTCCCCCTCGTTCGAAAGCAACGAGAGAGACAAAAAAAAAGACAACCGTGACACACCACTGCAGCGCCGCAGAGCGGACCGAATCACGTCGGCGTGTGGAGCGCCCTCACTGGGCTTCGTCCATGTCCGGCAACTTGACGGGACCGCAGCGGTGGGAGAAAAATGATTGACAGGCCGGGAGTGGAATTCTTAGGACCAAAGCAGGGGGGGGGGGTCAAAAATCGATATAGTCCCCCTCGTTCGAAAGCAACGAGAGAGACAAAAAAAAAGACAACCGTGACACACCACTGCAGCGCCGCAGAGCGGAGCCCGGATCCTTCCCGATTGGGTCAGAAATCAATCCGATAAAAGGGAAGACCAAGTCCCCCCTCCTCCTCCTCCTCCGCCTCCTCCGCCTCCTCGCAGCTGGAACACACGCAGGGGGAGGGAAGGCGCGATAGCCGAGACAAAATCCAGCCAAGGAGCCGTCGGAGGGGGCTGCCGATAGGACTGAGGGAGAGACGCACGGGGGATGCTTGGATTTGGGCTTGGGGGGGCACCGACACGTCCAAACAGGGCAGCAGAGTCCCGTCTGAGAAGCGCCTTTTCCGGTAGGGCTGCCTGCAGTGCCCCGGGGAACTCACCAAGGGAGGGAAGGCGGGGCCAGCCTGGATGACTTTTTAAGGTGGATCGCTTCAATCACCACGACTCCATTTTATGTTTAATAAACGCTGCTGTCGTCTTTTCGGTTTTCACCAATGTATTTCATCGAGTATTACCTCATATTTTCCATTTAATGAGAGGCGGACAAACCTCCCGGGCTTTTTTTTCGACATGGTGGCTCGGGACTTTTTTTGTGGGTCTGTCTACTCATGATAGACAGGTCTACCAAACTTCATGTTGGTTGCTATGTCTCGGTGTTTCAACAGGCCAGATTGTAAAACTACTATCGTGGGCGCTGCAAGAGTCAACAAGGTTTGCTCCACCCACACCCAATGACCAACATTAGGCAAATTAGGATCATTCAACCGTCACATATGTGTGGATAAAATTTTACAGCAATTGGACAAAATCACAAGGAGGAAGAGTAAGTCTGTTCAAGATACCCAGAAATGGCCAAATTCAGGAAAACGTGTATATTTCCATGTGAAATGTAGACTTCCTGTGTGTTTTCTTTCCAGGCATGGCTTCTTGAGAGGTTGTTTTTGTGAGTCTACTCATCATACAAGATAAATCCATCATACAATCGATCTTTATTTTACACGATTTCCACGCCGACCAAACTGTGTTACTCAGTGGAACTGGTTTGAGGGCTGCATTTATTTTTCAATAATTGTGTTGGGTACAGCTGCCTGTGTGTTTTTAGACAAGGCTTCTTGGGACTTTTTTGTGGGTCCACTCATGATCAACATAACTACCAAATTTCATGTTGCTAAGTGTTATTGGCTTTGGGGGCAGCATTTAAAAAAAAAAAAAGTACTCCGGTTAAGTACAACTGAGCCAGTTGAGTCTAAAATGTCTACTTTAGTCCAAAATGTCAGACTTCTATTTTTATTTATTTTAAGGCTTTGCTTCTTCAGACTTTTTGTGGGCCAACTCATGATACACACATTCACCAGTGTTCATGTTAAGTCACACTGCTTCCGTTTTCCACCCCCAAAAAAATGCAGCAGCCACTCTCAAGAAACTGGCTTGTTGGTGGCAGTTTTCAACCTAAAAAAGAATCCAGGGGGCATTATGGTGCCCCTTAATCAAAAGGCACATCAAAGCGCACTGTTCTTCATGCATTGCGATTTCATTCAAACACATCACATCACAGAACAAGATGAAGAAAATGGTCTCCTGAGTGCCAAGTGGCTATTCAATCAGCCTCCTGGCCTCCTACGCTATGCTAATGACAGAGCTCGTTCAAGCTACCATTTAATAGCACAACACAGCTTCGCTGAGTCTAAAAGCACACATCACGGCACATAACGCTCGCATAGCCTTTTTTTTTTTTTTTAAATTAAAGCATTCACTCCTCCATTTCTGTCACTTCCGTAAAGCACGCCCGCTGTGACGTCTTCATTAACAATACATGATGTTTAAATGTGTGTGTGAAATGAATTAGTGAATTAACTGTTGGCAGAAACCAAATAATATCATTTGTTGACCAGTAGTGTCCCGTCCCCCCCCCCCCCGACGTTGACACCAACACTGGAGTCGGGCTCCATTCATTGTAAACAGAGTATTGATGAAAGCCACATTCAATATTTTTTTCATTTGAAGTCCCATGTGATGATCGTATCCTATGTAATATACAATATGGACACCCCCAATGCAGCCTATTTACTTCACCTCAGTATTTCATGTCTGCAAGTCCCCGTTGTGGCATGACGTGACGCCAACTTGCTGCCAGGCTGCATACTGTACATTGTTGTCGTGGTGCGGCACACGACGGAAACGCGGCCTGCCGGGATTGACAAGCGTCTGCCGTCCGTCCATCCATCCGTCGCCGGCGGGCCTGCCGGCCGTCGTCTGTCCTTCACCTGTCCAGCGCGCTGTTGCCACAACACACTGTGTGACTAGTGTCAATATGGAGTGACAAGTCAATCGTTTACATAGTCTCATTGCCATGGCAACAAGGCCTGGGGTGGGGCTGAGAGTGAAAAGGTGTGCATATTTGCTTAAGATTAAGAATATTCGCGGGGAATACTTTTCCTGGAACTTTACGGATATGGAAAAAAAAATGCTGTAATATCAGAATAAAATTGTGAGGGGTGCTGTTGACATGGGAAATTGACTGATGGACTAAGTAACTAACTAGCACATTAACTCACTCTCTGACTAAGTTGACCGAATAACATCAATGACAAAATGATTCTGGTTTAAGGTTTTTTTGTACTAGGCATATGTAACTAACTGTCAATGATTTTTCACCTCACGGTTTTCATACCCAGCAGACGTGCTAACTCACTGACTAAATTCAATTAAATAGCGAACTAAGAGCAATGACAAAGCCATCATAAACTTTTGGAAAGTTTTTCGTGCTGTGCAGAAGAATATATTTTGCAAACTAACTGTTTACCTACCCACTAAAAAAATTAGCTCAAAAGCAAACTAAACAACTAACGAGCTGACTGACTCAATAAGTTAGTAGCAAACAATCGAACTAGCTTACTGACCAAGAAGAAAACTGTCTGACCAACTGATTGACAAACGGATTCACAAAATAAGCCAAGTCAACACGGAACTAGGGAAGCAGTATTTAAGAAATTGCAATCACAAAATAATCTCTCCCGTCATGTTTTCCGAAAGCTTGAAAAATGTTATTTTCAAGCTTTGGTCGGAATGTTGAAGGGGGCAATAAATAACTAGCCGCATATGTTCACGATTGAGATCGATAGATAGTCACACAAGGCTGACAAATGTGAGGAAAAGAGCAAAAAGTAAGGTGCGGTGGGGGAAAGAAAAAAAAAAGGACCGTCAAAGGTTTATGTGCACTGCTCCTGACTGATCTTGTTGTCTAGACTGTGATAGGCTCATCCATCACTCTTTTACACCTGCAGAGCGCACACTCGCGCGCACTCAGCAGCGGCGGCGGCTGCGCTCCACAACAACAACATCGTCAACGTGAATCCGCTGCAAATGTTCAACGTGTTGAACATATTCATTTCAGGACGACTTCAATGGGACGATCAAAATGTGTGCGGCGGTTCCTCTCCTTTCCTGTAGGTGGCAGCAATTGGCAAATCGTTGGATTTGGTGGGTCAATGCCCCATTTGGGCCCCAATGGACAAGCTAACAAAGCCATGAACTAACTTCCAAAGTAATTTGTGCCTGACACAATGAGTATAAAAATGGAAATGAATGATATGAACAACTAAGTAACCAACCGCATCAAAAACTGAAACTACCTAGCACCAAGTACGACGAGCTACCCAGCATGGAAAGTTATTAACTCTGATCCTAAAAAAGACCATTCGTGGCATGTGATTTGAAGCCTGCAAGACGGCTAACCGTGACACAAAATGAAACGAACGCATCATATTCACAAAGCGGTGAACGAGCTAACTTGTGCTTGGCTTAAGAAGTTCAATTGAAATAAATGATGAAACTAAATAACTGCATCACAAAATTAAACAAACCAGCTAACTCATTCACAAAACAACGTAGCCACCGAATGAGTAAAGTAACATTCATCACAAAATGACTTGGCACTTCAAGTTTTGTCAAGTATTTAATCCGCGAACTAACTCACTGCAACACTAAATGAAACCAACTGGCACTTTGATCACAAAATGACCTTTGGCTTTGTGTTTTTACCTAGCTAACTAGCTGCGAGACAAAATAGAACTAACTCGCGTTCTTCACAAAATGAAACCAGCTAGCTCACAAGTGAACTGACAAACATTGATCCCAAAGTGGCCATTTGCCTCTTCTTGATCACAATGACAGGAACTGAAAACCAGCTAGCTCACAAGTGAACTGACAAACATTGATGCCAAAGTGGCCATTTGCCTCTTCTTGATCACAATTACAGGAAATGAAACTCACAAGGGAAGTCGGCCTAACATTAATCACAAATTGAACCTTCACTTCATTCGGAACTAGCCAACAAACAAAATGCCCTCACAAAATGAGTACGGTATGCGTTTTTCGTACTTGGCACAAGATTATTTCGAACCAAAGTGAGCAGGTAACCAAGACAACGAAATATGTGTTTTAGGTGGTTTGAGTGTATGACGCGAGTCGGTGGGTTTTTGCATCCTGAAGGCATCTTTTTTTTTTGTTTGTTTTTTTTTTTGTTTATCAGTGTGTGTCTTTCAGTGTGTGTTAATTGTGTATAAGAGTGGAGGCTGCGATTTCAAATCCATCAGACTTATGTAATCAAGTCACTTCCTGGGGTCAGCACCCACACACATGTGCACACACACACACACACACACACACACACACACACACACACACACACACACACACACACCAAACCATAAATGTGTCCATATATGCAGCTGGATGTCGTCTCCATGGCGACCTTCACACGCAATTCTGATTATTTTTATCAGCAAAGAGGCACAAAGATTGAGCAAAGACACTAACATACACCACATGAACGTCTCTGGCAAACCGAAGACTTACGATCTACAGAATGAGGATTTGTTTGTGATATTCTGGCTTGTTATCTGTGACAGCCGGCTTCTGTTTTATGTCAGAATGGAAACAGAAACAAACATGACAAACACAGTTAAAGACACGCTTAGAAACAATATTTGCCAAGATCTAAGAGCACTTAGCTAGCACCGGAAGCATCTTTAACAAAGTCAATCTTTTTTGACTGCGCATATTAGCATGGTTAGCTGGCAGACATTTGTAAACACTCTAAACTTTGCTCTCTAGCCAACTAAATATCTCTTGATCACAAAATGACTTTCGGCTTTTTATTTTTTGTACATTGTAAAAGAAATTCAGAGACAAAACAACTAAAACTAGAAAGCTCATGTTTTTCGTATTTGGAAGAAGAAGGAATGAATCTAAATAAACTAGCTAAATCGCTAGCTTACCAACTATGATCAGAAAATGGCTTCTGGCTTCATGTTTTTGGTACTTTGCAGACAGAAAGTTAAATATTGACAGAGGTTAAAACTTGACAGAAGAAATTATGAAACTTACCATGAAACTAATCAACAACAAAAAAGGAAATTAATCAAGTAATGATCACCAAATGGCCTCTGGTGTCACATCTCTCTTACTTGGCAGACAAAAGTACATGAATGAAGAACAAACCAACCAACCAAGCAACAAACCAACTAATTAACTTTGGAACATACTAGCCGGCTTGCCAGTTAAGGTCAATGACATAATGAGTAGTCACACCAACACATACACATAAATACACACTAGCTAGCCAGCTATCGAACTATCAATCACAAAATGAATTCTTGTTTCCACTTTTTTGAATAAAATTACCAAACTATCCTTGTACCGAACTAATGAATAAACCAACACAAAATAGCCTCTTGGCGACTTGTTTTTTGGACTTGGAAGAAGACATCATGTTAGGGACTCATCGCATTTTATTATTTGGTCTGTTATGTTGTTTTTATTTGTATCTAATCCGCCATTTTGGGCACGATATTGTGATGATTTGATAGCTATTAATGCTGAGAAGCAGCCATAAAAGAATTTGAGCGTGACATATAAAAACTGCATTTTGAGCAGTCTGCGAGGGGGAAGCGAGGCTTGCGACAGACGAGTTGAAAGGTCAAGGGGAAATCCATACACCCCTCACGGAATATCAATTCCCGTTCGAGGAGCGTCATGACGCTGATGGACGGACCCCTGAGGAGGGCAGGGGTCCTCTCCACCGCAGGGGTGGGGCAAGGCCGAGCGGGCCTCCCCACTGGTTAAAGGCCTAGGCCGTCATTAGTGCCGCACTGGCATGATTAACGTTTCATCACGCAACTATTAATAAACCTCCACATGCTCAAACGTCCTCATCATACAATCTATCAACCCAATTTCATATTTAATCCGTTACAAACATGTCAACAAATCATGCTTCAAAGGTGTTAAGCAAAATATGATATGCGGTCTACATGGAGACGGTCACAGCTCCTCAAGAAGCGACAGTGGTCATAAATATTCTTTGCAGAAGACAAAAAATACATTCCTGTGAGTATTTTTACATTGTTTGTCTGAGGTGTTCAAATATTTGATACTTAAAGGATGATTATAGCCACCCCGATGGCATACTTTAGCCTGTCAAGGGCGTTTGCTTTGCATTAAGATAAGCGGACTCTCGGTAAAGCTATCTGGTTCATCGAAACAAGGTCGTAAATCGGGGCACCAATCTATACACGCATTTGTTTTTATTTTATTGCTCTACCTTGGTGGAGGTCTGTGCAATAGAGAGAGAGCAACACACACACACGCGCGCACGCACACAAAGTGTGCCCACGCTTGCACCGCCAAAACACCTGATGGCATTTTTCACTTCATGTCTATAACACAACACATCAACACATCACCTGACGATGCACTGGCGTCCAATCGCGAGCTAGTGTGTGTGTGTGTGTGTGTGTGTGTGTGTGTGTGTGTGTGTGTGTGTGTGTGTGTGTGTGAGTGTAGGCGGGCCTTCTCTGGCCTTTTCCCCTCCCCTCCCACATCCTCCATCTCTGGCGCAGCATTAGCATGCACGCTGCAATGCTGCACCCAGCACTCACTTCAAACACACACACACACACACACACACACACAATCGCACTATGACACACTCCTATAGCACACTAGTGGAAGCGATAGCATTTTGTACATGTCAATAAGATGTTTTCATTTGACACGAAGCCCACAGTATAAATGACATGCACGCACACACTCACACACACTGAACAGCCCACTCACACACACACACACACACACACACACACACACACACACACACACACACACACACACACACACTTGCATTGAGTCTCTGCAGAGACACTTCAGGGTAGTGTTTCTCATCATTCTTTCTTGGCTGTAAACTTCTGCAACACAAAAGCGCAACAATGTCGCCATGGTTACACGTGTGAAAACATGCTCTCTCTCTCTCACACACACACACACACACACACACACACACACACACACACACACACACACACACACACACACGCAAGGAGGCCCCAAAAGATCCACAACAAAGGGAATCCATCTCATTTGGCTTCACACCTTTCAGCAAATAGCCACATCCCACATTTACTGGCGTTGGTTGGGCGAGTTTGCAATTTAATAAAAAGAAATCCTTTTTGTTCTATTAGTTGAAGTTGTCATGACAACTTCGTACTTGATAATGACGATCTGTGGGAAACGAAAATCAGCGGTGTCGAACATACGGCCGGCGGGTGATCTGGAAAGCTTCAAAGCAATTTTTCAACCAGAAGTGTTATTGCTAAATCTGTCCACTAGGGGTCGCACTGGCAGCCACTTCAATGGCATTCTGGAATTTGGCTGTTCCCCGGATTTGACACCTGATACTGATGCACAAGGGAAGGCTGAAATATCTTAACTTTCACGGGCAAAGGAAGCCAACTTCATAGGAAATGCAGAGCAAATAAAAGATTCATGAAAGAAACAATTTGACACATCCACAAAAAAAGTTTTGCTCTTACGAAAAAGGGCTGTCCTGCATTTAAAAATAATCTGAGTGGCCTACAAAACTCCTCTTGTAAAAATCCAAAGCAAATGGAGTGTAAAAATGTTGCCGTGGCCTCATCCTATTTGAGGGCGGACAAAGCGGGACATTGTGGTTGGATGTCAAGCAAGCCTGTCTCTCGGGAGACGTCGGGGAAACAGTCGGCCGTTTTGGCGGCCTTCCCGGCAATGGGTCTCCCACTTAAACCCTTAATGATGTCTGCTGGATGTGGGACAGACAGAGAGACAAAGCGCGACCGGACTGGACTCTGATATGCTGTGCAATTGTTACGACCAAGGGAAGCAGGCAGCCCCGCAAAAAAACGCACAGAAGGCGTTCACGAGTCACTTGTAGGATATACCACATCAAATTTGAGGACACACAATGTCACGGAAAAAACAAACAAAAAAAGATTTTGTTGACCTTTGTGCCGAACCACAAGTAATTGGGGATCCACTGTAATAGCATATTGATTCGGTCATTTTTTTCAGTCTTGAGTACATTTCAATTTTTATTCATGTAATAATTTTTTTCATTCTTCATTCTAGAATGATAATCCATTCATTTTCAAGTTTGATTTCGTACTGCCACATATTGTTTGCTGAAAAGTGGCTATGACTACAATATTCATCAAAATAAATGTGATTCGCATTTTATCCATAACTGGACAGCCTGATGCTTGCTCATGTTAAATCTTGCAAGTGAGATGAAAACGTGTTTTATTTTAATCAATCACAGTGGCGCAACACATGCAGGCAGATCATGTCACAACACTTACCGGCATATATTCTTTATCCTCTGCCAAGGGCGACTGCTCTTACTATTGTAATCTACTATTACTGTACTTACTAAGTCTACCGTAAAACTCTCGAGTGCTTCTATGTTGGTACTATACTGCCCCCCGGTGGCACACCGGAAGGAGCAGCACAATGTCCAGTGAAAGCAAAAGAAATGTGGCAAGTATGTGCGGTCGATCATGCTCAAGTGGAACGAGGTGGTTCCCTTTCTCGGCAAGTGCTTCATTCACACAATCGCCTTGAAGAACCAACGCAAACGTTTCACACGCCTCCTGACACATTCCGACTCCTGCTTCATCCTCCTCATCCGAGCGCGCATACACACGCACACACACACACACACAAACACAGGCACGCACGGCGTTTGATTTGCGTGTGAGTGTGTGGTGTAAATCACGTAGGCGCTACAGCGCAGCGTCAGATATGGACGCCATGGCAACAACAGGAAAAGCTGCAAACTGGAATCTCGGCAAGAAACTCCCCAAGTTCAAATCAACTCAACCAAAGTCCACCTGTGAGTGCATCCAATCAACGAAAAGTTTTACTTGGGAGAGTTGAACTTTGAACTCTTCACAGGAATTGAAAAGTCAACTCATGTGGGAGTGAAAATGATCCTCCCGAAGTATGTCAACTCTTATTTTTTGTTGCATTGATCGGAAACCATTTGCTACTTTTTATACTATGGAAGCGTAAGGCTGCCACACCAGGAAAGGAAAAAAAAAAAAACCTTTGGCCTTCCTTGAGTTCGGCTCGCTCGCAAGCGACATCCTGCTTTGCCTAATATTGTGATGCGCGCACACACACACACACACACACACACACACACGCTTCACACACACTCACCTGCTGTGGTGAATAATAATGAGCTTCCTGTGCGCTGGGGGAGCTGTCCTGATTGTGATGTTTTCTTGTACTTGCCTCGTGTCACGTTTTCCTGCAATGAACTTGTAAATGTGTTTTGTCAGGATTGGCGTGTGGGTGAAAGTTCAAAAGGTGAAATTTGCAGGTAGGTCATTTGGATGCTCATCATTTCTGTTTTGGCATCGTTGTCTTAAGCGTTAGGGGTAGGGCCCGACTGATGCAGATTTTTTTGGTGGGGCCAGGTGTCCATTCCCATATTTGGAGGAAGACAATTCCAATAACTGATTAATAGGTTGACCCGTTTAAAAAATATATGGTGCTTTAATGAGAATTTGGAGATTTGTTTTTGTCTCTACAAAGTACAGTTTACACATCTATTTTGGATGTGATTCCACTTTCAACCACTAGATGGTGGCGCACTTATTTGATTCACAATGTAATAATTTGAGAGGAACAAAAACAGGAAGTATTTCAACACAGGCTGAAGGTGATTGAATGTCAAATCCTCTTCCATCCTGCTTTTCGCGCCTACAGAAAGCCTTCATTTGAGAATGTTCATCTTTGATGTATGGGGGGTATGGGGAGAACATTCCAGACTTCACACAGGGAGGCTGGAGCCGGAATCGAACCCTGCACCTCTGCACATTATTCTTGTATTCCATTAAAATGTGCCAAAAGACCTTCAAAAAGTAAGTGCTGTAAATGCAATAAAAACATCCTGAGGGGGTATTTAAATCGGGTATTTCTCAATTGTGGATGTTACTTCTTGCAGGGATGGTCTGGAACATAACCCCCATGATGGATGGGAATTAATCAAATACAAAAAAATCAAATAAAAAAATCATAAAGTGTCGAAGTGACTGACTTGTTGGCCTTTGGTGAGCTTTGAGATGTTGCTGCTGATCCACAAACACCCACCAGGCATCCCCACCCACATCTTTGGGTCACTGGCACAAAACAGTGAGTCGGCAAATCTCAGCAGTGCCCCCAACAGCACAACAGCAATCATGACAAGCTCTAAATGATGCAGCAGGATGTTTTCAATCAAGCTCTCAGCTGATTTCATGTTCGGAAACCACTTTTTGTGCATAACATCACATTTCAGTTGACTACAAGGCAGCATTACATTGTGGGGGTTTTATATACATAAACTAAGTAACTTATTCAGAAACAAAATGTAAAATTTTTTGCTTGAAAACTATTTAGCTTTGATCAAAAACAAATATTACTTTTTAACCTTGTTAATTCCAACATTTTACCTTAAAAAAAGTTTGATCAGGAGTCTTTGGATCTTTGAAGAAAAAAAAAAAATTTCTCCAGAAAAATATGACTTATTTGATAACGTTTTAAACCTTTTTATGTAGAGAATTCTGCCTTTTTCTACAATAAGCAGGTAAAATATCAAGTTTTAACTCGAAAACTGTGACCTTAAAAAATACAATTTTTAAGTAGAGAAATACAACCTTTTTAAATCATAAAAAATGTCTCACTTCAATAATACTCCTTCTTGAAAATAACTTCAAATCCAACTTTTCTCATGAAAAATATTTATTTGAAAAAAAATTCCTGAATTTCCTGCCTTGAAAAAAAAAAAAATCTCAAAAACAAGTTGACCCCCCCCCCAAAAAAAAAGTTTAAAAAACTGGGGGGGCAAATTTGCCGACGTTGCTGGGGGTAGC